CAGCCTAGGAGATAGTCTAGTAGGTAGCCTAGGAGGCAGCCTAGTAGGTAGCCTAGTAGGTAGCCTAGGAGGCAGCCTAGTAGGTAGCCTAGGAGACAGCCTAGGAGATAGTCTAGTAGGTAGCCTAGGAGACAGCCTAGGAGATAGTCTAGTAGGTAGCCTAGGAGACAGCCTAGGAGATAGTCTAGTAGGTAGCCTAGTAGGCAGCCTAGTAGGTAGCCTAGTAGGTAGCCTAGGAGGCAGCCTAGTAGGTAGCCTAGGAGACAGCCTAGTAGGTAGCCTAGGAGGCAGCCTAGGAGATAGTCTAATAGGTAGCCTAGGAGACAGCCTAGTAGGTAGGCTAGGAGGTAGCCTAGTAGGTAGGCTAGGAGGCAGCCTAGTAGGTAGCCTAGGAGACAGCCTAGGAGATAGTCTAATAGGTAGCCTAGGAGACAGCCTAGTAGGTAGGCTAGGAGGTAGCCTAGTAGGTAGCCTAGGAGGCAGCCTAGGAGATAGTCTAATAGGTAGCCTAGGAGACAGCCTAGTAGGTAGGCTAGGAGGTAGCCTAGTAGGTAGCCTAGGAGACAGCCTAGTAGGTAGCCTAGGAGACAGCCTATGAGACAGCACAGTAAACAGTGGTGGAGACAGCAACGGGAACAACAGTAATATTAACCCACAAAAACAGAGAAAAACACAATTTCCACCTGTTATTTCTCTCTATTTTCTCTAAAAAAACATAAATACAAGAAAAGAATAAGAAAATAACTGGGGAAACAGAGGAGAAGACAGGAGAGGGACTTTTAGGAACCCCTGAGGGAGCACCTAGGGGCCCTATTTTGGGGTCTTTTGGGGGTGTGGGTGGTCGAAACGTGCGTCGTCACTATGGGGTGAAACGTGGTAGTGAAACAGAGTGTTTCTGTCTTACCGTTGTCTTGTAAACTCGTAGAGACGAGAGATTATGGTTCATCCTGACCACACACACACCACTGACTGACACACACACGTGTACACACCGCTGGCTGACACACACACACCACACACACACACACCACACACACACACACACACACACACACACACACACACACCTACACACACACACACCTACACACATGACCTATCCACTTAGAGAATAGGATACATTCTTATATACACGCCTTGGAGATGCACACATGTACGTTAATACTACACGTACACAGGGGCGTGCACACACACCCACACACAAGGTGGTTTACATAGGCGTGCACACATGTGTGGATATACACACATACATACACTTATATGACGTAAATGAAGACATTTCCTCCCGTGTATGATTCACTCAGTGTATATACACTGAGATATACACCTCTCAGTGTATATACACTGAGATATACACCTCTCAGTGTATATACACTGAGATATACACCTCTCAGTGTATATACACAGAGATATACACCTGTCAGTGTATATACACTGAGATATACCCCCTCTCAGTGTATATACACTGAGATATATACCTCTCAGTGTATATACACAGAGATATACACCTGTCAGTGTATATACACTGAGATATACACCTCTCAGTGTATATACACTGAGATATACACCTCTCAGTGTATATACACTGAGATATACACCTCTCAGTGTATATACACTGAGATATACACCTCTCAGTGTATATACACTGAGATATACACCTCTCAGTGTATATACACTGAGATATACACCCCTCAGTGTATATACACTGAGATATACACCTCTCAGTGTATATACACTGAGATATACACCTCTCAGTGTATATAGTACACTGAGATATACACCTCTCAGTGTATATACACTGAGATATACACCTGTCAGTGTATATACACTGAGATATACACCTCTCAGTGTATATACACTGAGATATATACCTGTCAGTGTATATACACTGAGATATACACCTCTCAGTGTATATACACTGAGATATATACCTGTCAGTGTATATACACTAAGATATACACATCTCAGTGTATATACACTGAGATATACACCTCTCAGTGTATATACACTGAGATATACACCTCTCAGTGTATATACACTGAGATATACACATCTCAGTGTATATACAGAGATATACACCTCTCAGTGTATATACACTGAGATATACACATCTCAGTGTATATACACTGAGATATACACCTCTCAGTGTATATACACTGAGATATACACTTCTCAGTGTATATACACTGAGATATACACCTCTCAGTGTATATACACTGAGATATACACCTCTCAATGTATATAGTACACTGAGATATACACCTCTCAGTGTATATACACAGATATATACACCTGTCAGTGTATATACACTGAGATATACACCTCTCAGTGTATATACACTGAGATATATACCTGTCAGTGTATATACACTGAGATATACACCTCTCAGTGTATATACACTGAGATATACACCTCTCAGTGTATATACACTGAGATATACACCTCTCAGTGGTTTTATACACTGAGATATACACCTCTCAGTGTATATACACTGAGATATACACCTCTCAGTGTATATACACTGAGATATACACCTCTCAGTGTATATACACTGAGATATACACCTCTCAGTGTATATACACTGAGATATACACCTCTCAGTGTATATACACAGAGATATACACTTGTCAGTGTATATACACTGAGATATACACCTCTCAGTGTATATACACTGAGATATACACTTGTCAGTGTATATACACTTGTCAGTGTATATACACTGAGATATACACTTCACAGTGTATATACCTAGTTCTTCCTCTCTAGACCTAGTTATACCTCTCTAGGCCTAGTTATTCCTCTCTAGACCTAGTTATTCCTCTCTATACCTAGTTATTCCTCTCTAGACCTAGTTATACCTCTCTAGGCCTAGTTATTCCTTTCTAGGCCTAGTTATTCCTCTCTATACCTAGTTATTCCTCTCTAGACCTAGTTATACCTCTCTAGGCCTAGTTACTCCTCTCTAGACCTAGTTATTCCTCTCTATACCTAGTTATTCCTCTCTAGACCTAGTTATACCTCTCTAGGCCTAGTTATTCCTCTCTAGGCCTAGTTATTCCTCTCTATACCTGGTTATTCCTCTATACCTAGTTATTCCTCTCTATACCTGGTTATTCCTCTATACCTAGTTATTCCTCTCTATACCTGGTTATTCCTCTATACCTAGTTATTCCTCTCTATACCTGGTTATTCCTCTATACCTAGTTATTCCTCTCTATACCTGGTTATTCCTCTATACCTAGTTATTCCTCTCTATACCTGGTTATTCCTCTATACCTAGTTATTCCTCTCTATACCTGGTTATTCCTCTATACCTATTATTCCTCTCTATACCTGGTTATTCCTCTATACCTAGTTATTCCTCTCTATACCTGGTTATTCCTCTATACCTAGTTATTCCTCTCTATACCTGGTTATTCCTCTATACCTAGTTATTCCTCTCTATACCTGGTTATTCCTCTATACCTAGTTATTCCTCTCTATACCTGGTTATTCCTCTATACCTAGTTATTCCTCTCTATACCTGGTTATTCCTCTATACCTAGGTATTCCTCTCTGTATCTAGTTATACCTCTCTAGACCTAGTTATACCTCTCTAGACCTAGTTATACCTCTCTAGACCTAGTTATACCTCTCTAGACCTTGTTATACCTCTCTAGACCTAGTTATACCTCTCTAGACCTTGTTATACCTCTCTAGACCTTGTTATACCTCTCTAGACCTAGTTATACCTCTCTAGACCTAGTTATACCTCTCTAGACCTAGTTATACCTCTCTAGACCTTGTTATACCTCTCTAGACCTAGTTATACCTCTCTAGACCTAGTTATAACTCTCTAGACCTAGTTATACCTCTCTAGACCTAGTTATACCTCTCTAGACCTAGTTAACATCAATTATAAAGAAGAAGCACTAAACCTGCAAGGGTTATACAGCTGTTAACATCAAGGTTGCCTAAACTGCTTAACTTAACTATGGTATTTACAACTTATGATAATTTACATCACTAAATCATTCATACCATCTATCAATTAACATATTTAATTTTTCTATCTATGTGTGATCTTGGAGAATAAAATCTGTATGTCTCTCTTAACTGGGTAGAAATTTTATACACTGAGAAGCACTAAACCCACCATATACTATCTGGGTAATGATGAGCATTCAGATTTAATTCGAGGATAATCGTAACCAAGAGCCGAACCAGTGTGTGTCACAGAACACTGCTGATAAAGAGGATAAATCTATAGAGGAAAGGCAGGGTAGTGGTCGTCCCAGGAGAGGGTGGAGGGAGGGCGTAAAGGTGGTTTTGTGTGTGAGGGGCTTGGACTTCCAGCGGACACATGTGAGCATGATAGGACTGTGTGGATTATAATTATAATTAAAAAGAAGTGCTAAACCCATTAGGGTCATATAGCACAAAGGAGTGAGTGGAGGCGAGTGGTTGTTGGGGCTTGACGAGCTGTTGGAGTGTAAACAGGGGAATATCTGGTGAAAGGATTCAGGGAAACTGGTTAGCTGGACTTGACTCCTGGAGGTGGCATTATTATCATGAGGGAGAGCTAGACCCATAGGGATTATACAGTGCCTGTTGGGTGGATGGAAGACATTCAGAAAATTGGCACACAGATCCAATGCCCTAGATCAAGAGCCCCTCACCAGTCCTGGAGGTGGGAAGTGCAATGGCTGCACTTTGAAGGAGAGGGTTGGGATATTTGCTGTTTAGTGATATTTAAACCATTACATGTGTGCGCCTCCGGCAAGACAGCGATAGTGTGAATGATGGTGAAAGTGTTTCTTTTTCGGGTCACTCTGCCTCGGCAGGAGACGACCGTGTTCAAAAAAAATAAGTTGCATTTCATTTGTTTTCCAATCATGTAAGATGGTTGCTGAAGGTTGCTGTCTCTGATATCACACATAAATTAACAACTAGACTATTTTGGCGGCAAAGAATCCTCGTAGATAGAAGAAAATGGGATCATTTTATTCAATACAACATCAATATAGACAAACTTTTATTTACAGACATAAAAATTTAAAAGTTCAACGGCACCCAACATGGTGACTAGAAACAACCATTCGGTGACAATTAATATAATGTATCACAATATACAACACTAGTTTGTTTTATGAACAAATATATAATACATTATTATAATTAAAAGTGCTATTTGTTTGTGACTTTCCGACAGGTCAGTTATTTTGCGAGGTCTTGGGAGTGCCAGGATTGTCCTCTGGGTTGTCTGTACTTGTGTGTCTAGACTTGAGTAACGTTCCTCCGATGATGCCAGCGAAGAGGAGGAGACCGATGTGTCGGTTTGCTCGGAACTTCTGTCCACAGTCACTGGGGTTGTTGATGTCCAGCGTCCACACCTGCACCAATAAACAAAAGCATTAATATATATTTTATAACATGTCGGCCATCTCCCACTGAGACACAGCGACCTGAAAAAAAAAGAAATACAGTGGACCCCCGCACAACGATCACCTCCGAATGTGACTAATTATGTAAGTGTATTTATGTAAGTGCGTTTGTACGTGTATGTTTGGGGGTCTGAAATGGACTAATCTATTTCACAATATTCCTTATGGGAACAAATTCGGTCAGTACTGGCACCTGAACATACTTCTGGAGTGAAAAAATATCATTAACCGGGGGTCCACTGTACTTTCACAAAAGTGTAATAAAGAAATTATTAATAATATTCGCCCCCCCCCCCAAAAAAAAAAGGCCATAGGAACAGATGATACACTGCCATAGGCTTAAACATATGTATAGAATTAACCTATTAACTTTCAAAAAATTTTAAAATTTCACCACACGAAATTAAATGAGCAGACAGACATATGGAAGATGGTACACATTATTATTTAAAAAAGTTGTGATTTGCTGACAAGTGTTGCCAAAATAGTGCAAAAAGCTATTAGAAAAAAGTGGAAAAAATACTTAAGATAAGACTGGAGGATCACTACAGTAGACCTACTGGCCCATTAAGCCTACTTGGAGAGGAGCAGAATATCAAACAATTCAGCTCTTGTTCTGAAAATTCCTATATATCAAGTTCATTAAACTTCTGTTACAGCCACTAACAATATTAAAGGAAAAAAAATAGATGGAACAAAATAATTTAATTAGATAATAAAAACTCTTGAAAATTTATTATCATAATCAAAAAGAAGTGTTAAGCCAAACTCTTGAAAAAAAAGTGATAAATGAAAGAATAATTTGAAAACTAAGAATGATTAACTAGCAGTTTATTGCTGGTACGTGACCATGGACGGTTTTGTGCTTTATTAGATTAAATAATTATTACCGGTACAACAGATGAGAAATTTGTATTTTAGTCGCCTCTTACGACGCACGTGGCTTCTGGAGGAATGATTCTTCTCCACTTCCCCGTGGAGAAATTTTTATTTTTTCATACCATTTTCTGACCTTATACAGCCTCTCCTCACTTAGTGACGTACTCGTTTACCGACGCCTTGGACTTGCAATGGGCTCTCTGACCAGTACTCATACCTAAATAATGTATATTAGAGCTGATTTCCTCTATTCTGTTCATTACAATATACAGTACACTACTGCATAAACATTTAAAAATATACCAGAAATGTTTTAAATGGTACAAATGTGACATTAAAACAATATCAAAGATGGATGACACAAACCCACTACCATTATAGTATGCTCCTCACTTAGTGACGAATTCATTTAATGATGTGGTCTCCAGAATGGTACTCCGTCATTAAGTGAGGAGAGGCAGTATGTTATCATATCTCATGTCTTCCTGCTATCAGCCAGTGTGGATATCTTATTGTTCTCAGACTTACATCATAATTACTGCATATAAAACAGGCCGGACTTGAGTCCTGGAGATGGGAAGTACAGTGTCTGCACTCTGAAGGAGGGGTGTTAATGTTGCAGTTTAAAAACTGTAGTGTAAAGCACCCTTCTGGCAAGACAGTGATGGAGTGAATGATGGTGAAAGTTTTTCTTTATCGGGCCACCCTGCCTTGGTGGGAATCGGCCAGTGTGTTAATAAAAAAGGAAAACTTTCATTTTTCTTTTAGGTTACCCTCCCTTGGTGGTATATGGCTGGTGCACTAAAGAAAAAAAACAACTTTGTAAGGTTTTCTTCCTTTCTGAGTCACCTTGCCTTGGTGGGAGACAACCAGTATCTTAAAAAAAAAGATGGACACCATGAATATAGCTCTGTCGCTATAGTTAAATAGGTAATTACCCCCACACACACACACCTGTTTTGCTATGTGGGCCGCGGTTGCTGTTACAGCCAGGTAGTACGGCCACGCCAGGTGGGCGCTATAACCAGTGAGCAATAAACCAGAGGTCATTAAGATACCAAAGCCACTGAGCCACATCCACGTTGTTTCACCGAACTTCAGTGCCGTCGACTTGATGCCAATTATCACATCGTCATACTTGTCCTGGAAACATTAAAGACAGCTGGTAAAACATTCGCTCTACATAACCATAAGTTTTCAACATGTTCTTAAATGTCAACCATTTCTCATGGTGGAAATAAACTTGTATTTAAATTACACAAAATACAAAACAATTACAAAGGAAATAACTAGACTGTAGCAGAGACAAAATAGAGGATTACAAACCAGAGAAAAAATGCTTATATACATATATATACAGTGGACCCCCGGTTAACAAACGTTTTTCATTCCAGTAGTATGTTCAGGTGCCAGTACTGACCGAATTTTTTCCCATAAGGAATATTGTGAAGTAGATTAGTCCATTTCAGACCCCCAAACATACACGTACAAATGCACTTACATAAATACACTTACATAATTGGTCGCATTTGGAGGTGATCGTTAAGCGGGGGCCCACTGTACATATATATACATATATATACATATATGCATAAAAAATAATACATCTTAATAGCGATTCCAGAACACTGAGATCAGCTAATTTTTCACTATTCTTCATTTATCACATCAGCCATTTCCCACAGCAGTATACAGCAACTGAAACAAACATTCACCATCAGCTGTCTTGATGTAATTCGTAATTCTAATGACCCGCTGAACCATAACATTAACGACAAGGTCAATATTTTTGCAGAGATTCCTCTAAGACTAAGCTGTACGAGTTATATACCTGAACAGTACTTGTTTCGTGCCAAAATGTGAGAAGTATGATGCTACAGAATTTGGAAAAAAACAAATTAGATACCGTATATTCAAGAATATACAGTGGACCCCCGGTTTACGACATTTTTTCACTCCAGAAGTATGTTCAGGTGCCAGTACTGACCGAATTTGTTCCCATAAGGAATATTGTGAATTAGATTAGTCCATTTCAGACCCCCAAACATACACATACAAACGCACTTACATAAATACACTTACATAATTGGTCGCATTGGGAGCTGATCGTAAAGCGGGGGTCCACTGTAAACCCAAATGGGGTGCTCTAAGTACAGATGTGGAGAGCCATAGCCTAAACTATCAAAAATGAACATAAAAACAACTTGATTTGTTAAAAACATTACAAGAGGCCTGGTCACAGACCAGGCTGCGGGGGCATTGACCCCCGGAACTCTCTCCAGGTAATCTCCAGGTAAACTCCAGGTAAACAAAGCCATGAAGAGGTTACAACATTTTTATATAGTCATAAAAAAAATCAATACTGCGGCTGGAACAATTAACTTAAAATTTAAATGTTGTCATACAGATTTTTGGTGAATTTTTACGAAGTCCATATTATACTAAGTATTTCTGCACCTCAGATTGGAATAAAATTTAGTATGAGGTAAAGGGTGAGATAAAAGAGAAAAAGGTAGCTTATGAGAGGTTTTAACAACGCAGAAGTGATATAAGAAGAGTAGAGTATATGGAGAGTAAAAGAAAGGTGAAGAGAGTGGTGAGAGAGTGCAAAAGGAGAGCAGATGAAAGAGTGGGAGAGGCACTGTCAAGAAATTTTAATGAGAATAAGAAAAAATTTTGGAGATAAACAAGTTAAGAAAGCCTAGGGAATGAATGGATTTGTCAGTTAAAAACAGAGTAGGGGAGTTAGTAGATGGGGAGAGGGAGGTATTAGGTAGATGGCGAGAATATTTTGAGGAACTTTTAAATGTCGATGAAGAAATAGAGGCAGTAATTTCATGCACTGGTCAGGGAGGTATACCATCTTTTAGGAGTGAAGAAGAGCAGACTGTAAGTGTGGTGGAGGTACGTGAGGCATTACGTAGAATGAAAGGGGGTAAAGCAGCTGGAACTGATGGGATCATGACAGAAATGTTAAAAGCAGGGGGGGATATAGTGTTGGAGTGGTTGGTACTTTTGTTTAATAAATGAATGAAAGAGGGGAAGGTACCTAGGGATTGGCAGAGAGCATGTATAGTCCCTTTATATAAAGGGAAGGGGGACAAGAGAGATTGTAAAAATTATAGAGGAATAAATTTACTGAGTATACCAGGAAAAAGTGCATGGTATGGTTATTATTGAAAGAATTAGAGGTAAGACAGAATGTAAAATTGCGGATGAGCAAGGAGGCTTCAGAGTGGGTAGGGGATGTGTAGATCAAGTGTTTACATTGAAGCATATATGTGAACAGTATTTAGATAAAGGTAGGGAAGTTTTTATTGCATTTATGGATTTAGAAAAGGCATATGATAGAGTGGATAGAGGAGCAATGTGGCAGATGTTGCAAGTATGTGGAATAGGTGGTAAGTTACTAAATGTTGTAAAGAGTTTTTATGAGGATAGTGAGGCTCAGGTTAGGGTGTGAAGAAGAGAGCGAGACTACTTCCCGTGAAAAGTAGGTGACATTACACAGGAATGTGTAATGTCACCATGGTTGTTTAATATATTTATAGATGGGGTTGTAAAAGAAATGCTAGGGTGTTCGGGAGAGGAGTGGGATTAAATTATGGGGAATCAAATACAAAATGGGAATCGACAGTTACTTTTTGCTGATGATACTGTGCTTATGGGAGATTCTAAAGAAAAGTTGCAAAGGCTAGTGGATGAGTTTGGGAGTGTGTGTAAAGGTAGAAAGTTGAAAGTGAATATAGATAAGAGTAAGGTGATGAGGGTATCAAATGATTTAGATAAAGAAAAACTGGATATCACATTGGAGGGAGAGAGTATGGAAGAAGTGAATGTGTTCAGATATATATTTGGGAGTTGACTTGTCAGCAGATGGGTTTATGAAGGATGAGGTTAACCACAGAATTGACGAAGGAAAAAAGGAGTGGTGCGTTGAGGTATTTATGGAGACAAAGAACATTATCCATGGAGGCAAAGAAGGAAATGTATGAGAGTATAGTGGTACCAACACTCTTATATGGGTGTGAAGCTTGGGTTGTAAATACTGCGGCAAGGAGGCAGCTGGAGGCAGTGGAGATGTTGTGTCTAAGGGCAGTGTGTGGTGTAAATATTATGCAGGGAATTCTTGGTGTGGAAATTAGGAGGAGGTGTGGAGTTACTAAAAGTATTAGTCAAAGGGCTGAAGCGGGGCTATTGAGGTGGTTTGGTCGCTTAGAGAGAATGCAACAAAGTAGAATGACTTGGAGTGTGTATAAACTCTATTGGGGAAGGAAGGCGGAGTAGTGGTCGTCCCCAAAAAGGTTGGAAAGAGGGGGTAAAGGAGGTTTTGTGGACAAGGGGCTTGGACTTCCAGCAAGCATGCGTGTTAGGAGTAAATGGTTACTGGGACCCGACAAGCTGTTGGAGTGTGACCAGGGTAATATTTTGTGAAGGGATTCAGGAAAAACCAGTTAGCTGGACTCGAGCCCTGGAAATGGGAAGTACAATGCTTGCACTTTAAAGGAAGGGTTTGGGATATTGTCAGTTTAGAGGGACGTCTAAACTGTTATATCTGAGCACCTCTGCAAAGACAATGATTATGTATGAGCAAGGTGAAAGTGTTGAATGATGATGAGTTTTTTTTTCTTTCTTTTTGGGGTTTTTCTTTCTTTTTGGGTCACCCTGCCTTGGAGGAAAATGGTCGATGTGTAAAAAAAAAAAAAAGTACATACTGTAATACAAAAATACAGTAATGACAAAAATCAATTTGTAAATACTTAAGAAACTCCGCTGTAAATAATAAGTGTCGGAAGAGCAATGATCAAGCAGTCTTCACATTGCTCATTTGCATACATTTATTGCAATATCACTGTAAACACCAAAACAACTATTTGCTGTGTAGAGTGACATTGCAAGTATCGTATCTGTGCGCCTCTGGCAAGACTGTGATAGTGTGAATGATGGTGAGTGTGTTTCTTTTTTGGGTCACTCTACCTTGGTAGGAAATGGCCAGCACATTTAAAAAAAAATTCACTGTAAACAGACCATAATATAATTATGGGGGAGCACTAAACCTGTAGGATTATACAGCGCATATGGTGGAGGATATGGAAGGTATTCAGGCTCAATTCAGGGAATCGGAGAACAGATCCAATTCCCTAGATCAAGAGCCCTTCATCAGTGTCAAGGAACCTCCCTTGAGAGGCTAAGACCATAATATATTGTACATGTAAGTTCCTTCGACTGGGATGCCACCTTGATGCCAGCAAAACATGCAGTTTAATATAACTAAGTTATCTGAAGGTAAGGTTAGCAAATACAATGATAAATCAGATGTCCCGTGGCTTGGTTGGCAGTGTACTCGCCTCACACACTCAAGTGTCCGTGGCTTGATCCCTGGCAAGGGCGAAAATGCTGGGCATGTTTCCTGTCCCGGTTCACCTAGCAGTAAGTAGGTTCTGGGTGTCAGTCAACTGGTGTGGGTAAGATCCTGGGGAACAAGATTGAAAGACCATAATGGAAATAAGACAGACAGTTCCTTGATGATGCACTGACTTTCTTGGGTTATCCTGGGTGACTAACCCTCTGGGTTAAAAGAACAAACAAATCTTATCCTATCTTAAGTCACTGTTTACTAATACAGTACAAAGCCACATGCAAGTAGACAACATTTACCTGATGCGCATAAATTGTGTCGTATATGAGAGTCCACGCTATGCCAGCCGTGTAGAGTGGAAGACAAACGTTCCAATCGCAGGAGCCGTGGACAGCAGACCAGCCCAGCAGTGCTCCCCAGTTGAACGTAAACCCCAGCATGAGCTGCGGCCAGTATGTCACGCGCTTCATCAAGGGGTAGAGCACTACTAGACCTACGCAGCAATATCTTCAATGTAAACTTCACGTTATGTCCTTGTGTTTTTATGGTTTACAGTTCTACAGTCTTCACATACACTTTAGTACAGTATTCTTTTTTACTGTTGATAATATTTCTGGTTTGATTGAGCATTTGTGAAGTTTTTGAAAAGACAAGCGCTCAAGAATTATTAAATCCCTAAATACAGTGGAACCTCAGTACTTGAACTTACAGTGGTACTCCGAGTTTTGGTCATAATTCGTCCCGGAGGGCTGTTCGAGTGCCGTTACTGAACGAATTTGTTCCCAAAAGAAAAAATGTAAATTTGATTAGTCCGTCGGGAGCTGTACGAAACTCGGGGTACCACTGTAATTTGTTCCAGAAGGCTGTTCAAGTGCCAATCCGTTTAAGTATCGAACGAATTCTTCCAAACCAACTTTCTTTTTGGTTGACTGTTATCACTAATTTTCGTAGGCCCTATGGTGACTTATTTATACAATATAAAAAACACCGAAAAATGCAAAGAAACACAAAATAGTTTACAAAAAAGCACTGGCAGGTCATGTTCATTTGGTGGAGTGCCAAGCTTTGTTTAAGTAGGGAGCTGTTTGAGTACCAAGGTTCCACTGCATTACTATTATTATTATTACACATGTAAACAATAGCCATAACATACATCTAGCCACTAATGCTTCAGTAACAAAACAAAGATGCCTTGACGCTAACACTCACTTGATCAAAGGAATTGGAGATACTCTCCCTTCCTAAGATCAAATCTTATTACCTCCCATTCCCCAGGTGCTGTACGACCCTTATGGGTTAAGTGCTTCCTATGTATAATGATGTAACGGTAAATATCTTACCTAGAGAGCTGGCACCAAGCAGCACCGCATACCAATTAAGCTGCAGAAGCACCAAACAGCCCAAGCTGAGTTGTGTGCCTAGACACACAAGAGCATCAAACATTGATAGTGTGCCGCTGGCTAGAGGTCGTCCCGCAGTTCTGGTCACCTGTTACAACCAAGTATCTCATCACAATTACATTTCCTAAATGGAACTACTCCCTCTTTTAACACGACTCCATGCAACACAACTCTGTTGCAGCACTATTAAAAAAGTGCAACAAAAATTTAGATAGCATATACAAATATCTTGATATTATGTATTATTTTATTTCTTAACCCTTAAACGGTCCAAACGTATATATACGTTTTTTCAACATCTGAAAGTACGCAAAAAAAAGTAGATCTACTTTTGTAGTTACGAATTTGAACGTCAATCTGTTTGGACCGTTTAAGGGTTAACACATCGGCCGATTCCCACCAAGGCAGGGTGGCCCGAAAAAGAAAAACTTTCACCATCATTCACTCCATCACTGTCTTGCTAGAAGGGTGCTTTACACTACAGTTTTTAAACTGCAACATTAACACCCCTCCTTCAGAGTGCAGGCACTGTACTTCCCATCTCCAGGACTCAAGTCCGGCCTGCCGGTTTCCCTGAACCCCTTCATAAATGTTACTTTGCTCACACTCCAACAGCACGTTGTCCTAAAAATCATTTGAATGTATTATGTATTATTATTATTATTATTAAACTGTATTAAAAATAAGTGCTAAACCCAAAAAAATCACATAGCACTGATTAAATGATTATAACCTAGAATGGTGATTCCTGTGTGAATGGTCACTAACTTTTTTTTGGTTATCCTGGTGGTTACTTTACACACATTACTATGTATGATAATTTGTGTAACTGTATTTATGTGTACCTCTACCTAAATAAACGCACTTACTAAGGCTACAATAAAAATCTCTGTGTTATGACGAGTAATCTCACTCTTCAACGAGGAGTGAGATTACTCCTCGTTACACCTTACAGCAGATGTGAGGTGACGGGGAAATAAACGTGTACGAGACAACAAGAACTTTTCAATACTATAAACATGATTTTAGGTAATTTATTTAAATATGGGTGTAACCACATAGTTATGTTGAAATAAAAGTGGTATATTATTATTATTATTTTTCCACGCACCGGCCGTATCCCACCGAGGTCGGGTGACCTAAAAAGAAAAATTAAAGTTTTTCTTTTTGAGTCACTAAATTACTAAATTTAAAAAGAAATATGGAAGTTTCTCTCTTTAAATTTATTAATTTATACAGACGGGGCTACTAGCCCTTCGCTCCTGGCATATTAGTCGCCTCTTACGACAGACTTACAGAGGAAGGATTCTTCATACTTTCCCCATGGAGAATTATTATTATTATTATTATTATGATTATTAAACTCACATCCCAAGTCTCAAAAAAAAAAAAGCTCGACTATACAATACTTAAATATGCAAAAGAGAATTCGTCAAAATCAAATTAACCCTTAAACTGCCTAAACGTAGATCTGTTTTATTTTACATGCGTTCAAATGTAAAAAAAAAAAACGTAGATCTACGTTCGGAGTGTTATGCACGTGAACGCAAATCTACGTTTGGACAATTTAAGAGTTAAAAATCTTTCATACCTTACTATCATAGTCTCTGTCCCACATGTCGTTGATGGTGCAGCCGGCGCCGCGCATCACCAGCGTTCCAAACGCAAAGAGCGCCAGCATGCTGAAGTCTGGCAAGCATCCCGGCGGTGCCGCCAGAGCGATGCTCCAGCCACACGGCCAGAACAAGAGCCACGACCCAATAGGGCGATCGAGTCTCATCAGCTGTAAGTAACCTCGCAATGTCTTCGGCACATTTTGTATGAGTCTTTGAGGAATGGTCGGATTTGGTCCGTAATCCAGGGATAAATCTACGCCTACAGTATCTGGCCGTTTATCACGTATATTTTTTAGTTGGGGGTCGGTGGAATTTGAAATTCTGCTGAAAGAATTCACTTGGACTCCAGCACAATAATTCTGCAACGACTTCTCAAATACATGTATAACACCTTTACGTTTCGGGGTGCCATTAGCGTAACTCCAGTCGGCGAAACAAGAGTGAAACCTCGGGGAGACGCCAGCAAGTCTCCTGCAGTCACAGACCCCAGAGTCGGACCTCAGACCCACGGCGCAGCAAGCGTGACGGGCGATGTACCGGAGCAAGTCAGTTTGTCTGTGGCCAACGAGGGTTAACGATCGTCCGAGGGGCGCTCTCCTCACCAGCCATCGCAACACCGACATCCCCTTCCTGACGCACTCACCTGACAACCAATAACAAGTCATTAATGACAAACGTCCGTACGCTGCATCTGACGTAATATTTCAACAAATAATCGCTTATGGTAGTTATTTGCCGAGTAAATAAATACGTACTGTTATATTATTGTTAGTAATACTACAACAATTAAAACTAAGCACTAAACCCACAAGGGTCAAAGCACATTTCTAATATTATTATAAACAATATTAAGCACTAAACCCATAAGGGTCACAGTGTATTTGTATTATAATGAAAATTAAGCACTAAACCCATATGGGTCAGAGCATATTTGTATTATAATCAAGCGCTAAACCCACAAGGGTCATACTGTGTATTTCTAGTAACAATAGAGAACATTTACAACATGAAGTGCTAAACCTGTATGGGTCACACAGCACAACCTTCAGTCTCTGGTGTTAATGTGGGGGGAGAGGTAAACCCACATGGGTCGTACAGCACCCTGAGGACGTAATGACGTTTAATCCAGGGAAGAGATCAGCTCTAATCCCTTGGATCAACACCCCGTACTTAAGCTATTTGTGGTTGCAGAGGTTGAGACTCAGCTCCTGGACCTTAACATAATCAAAGTTGCTACTACAACTTCCCTCATATATTAACATTATTATTATTAACATTAACATTATTATTATTAATATTATTAACATTCTTAATATTAACATTATATTAACATTATCATTATTATTATTATTATTATTATATTATTATTAACAGTTAATATTATTATTAACATTTTTATTAACATTATATTAACATTATTAATATTATTATTAACATTCTTAATCTTAACATTATTATTAACATTATTAACATTATTATTAACATTATTATTATTATTATTATTAACATTATTAACATTCTTTATATTAACATCATTATTAACATTAACATTATTATTATTAACATTATTATTATTATTATTATTATTATTATTATTATTATTATTATTATTATTATTAACATTATTATTATTAACATTATTATTATTAACATTATTAACATTATTATTATTATTAACATTATTATTATTATTATTATTATTATTATTATTATTATTATTATTATTAACATTATTAAAATTATTATTAACATTATTAACATTATTATTATTATTATTATTATTATTATTAACATTAACATTATTATTAACATTATTATTATTATTATTAACATTATTAACATTATTATTATTATTATTATTATTATTATTATTAACATATATTATTATTATTATTATTATTATTATTATTATTAACATTATTAACATTATTATTATTATTAACATTAATATTATTATTATTATTATTATTAACATTATTATTATTATTAACATTATTATTATTACATTATTATTATTAACATTATTATTATTATTATTATTAAAATTATTATTAACATTATTAACATTATTATTATTATTAACATTATTATTATTAACATTATTAACATTATTATTATTATTATTATTATTATTAACATTATTATTATTATTATTAACATTATTATTATTATTAACATTATTATTAACATTCTTTATATTAACATCATTATTATTAAGATTATTAACATATTAACATCATTATTATTATTAACATTATTATTAACATTATTATTTTTAACATTAAAAAAGTCTCAAAAAAAAAAAATACTGATATGAGGGAGCGCTAAACCCGTAGGGTTACACAACACGTGGGGTGGGGGAGGGAGATGGAAGATATTCAAGACTCAACTCAGGGACCCAGAGCACAGATCCAATCCCCTGGATCAAAATCCCCACCATCAAAAAAAAAAAAAAAAAAAAACTTCCTTGAGGGATAAAAAAAAAAAAAAAACCCCGAGTCACCCAAAAAAATTAAAAAAACCCGGGGAAAAAAAAAAACCCCTTTAAAACCGGGGTAAATAACATAATAATCACACCGCCTCATGTCCGGCTCCAGGACCCTTTTTTTTATCACCCAAAAATGGCAAAAAAATGGGAAAAGTTAAAAAAAAAGTGTATTATTATCATCAAGGGGGAAGCGCAAACCCCGGGGGAAATTATACAGCACCGGGGGGGGGGGGGGATGTAAAAGACATTCAGGCTTAATTCGGGGAACTGAACACGGGGATCCAATTCCCTAAATCAAAACCCCCCTAAACCAACATAAAGGGAAACCTTTCCCCTTGGGGGGTAAAAAAGTATAAAAATATTACATGATATTGAAAGGTTGGGTGCCCGGCCCGCCTCATGTTCCAACTTTTTTTTTTGCCCAACAATTACCCAACTTTTGATCTTCTGACAAAAATTTTTCTGGAACTGGTAAAAAAATTCCCGGGGAAAAAAGGGGTTTTTTTTTAATGTTTTTTCTGATAATAATAACGTGTTTTTTTAATGGGGGGTTTATATTATTTTTTTTTTCCCGATAAATTTTTGCCCCTGGAGGTTTTTAAAAAACCCCTGGGGGGATTGATGGTTTTTGGGTTTTTCAATAAAGATTTGTATCAAAAACCTTTTGGGCAAACCCTCAAGCAACAAGGGAAACCTTTCCCCCGAGGGATAAATACAAAAAAGCAAACAAAAATTAAACCCAAAAAACACAAAAACTCTATCTAGCTAAACCCCGGCGGGGTTTAAAGGGAAAATCACTTCAAATGACTTTTTTTGGGGTTTTTTCTGGGTTGGGAATTTACATATAACTTACTATATTATGTTCCGGGACCTACATAAACTTACCTTGTCTCACCCAAAGGATAATTTAATGGATAAATCACATATTTCAGACCATGACCAAAGTAAAAAACGACTCGGTTTTTGCAAACATTTTTCTATTAAAATTTTTAAGGGAAAATTGAAAAAAAAAGTTTAAAAGAGGTGGGTTTATACATTGGTCCCATGTGTGGCCAGGGATAAAAAGCCGGTTGATCGTCCCTGATTCACCATGAGCCTGTCAAGGACAGGGGGCCCCCGGGGGCGTTTTTAAAAAACTATACCATGGGGGGGGGGTTTTAAACCCCCCCAGTTCGCTAGTTTTTTTTTAGTTGGGGGAAATGCTAAACCCCCACAAGCCAAAAGGGCACCCAGAAGGTTTTTGGGGGGGGGGGGGGGGGGGGGTTTTTCCGGGGGGGGGGGGGGGTGAAATATAAAAAAAGTTTTTTCTTTTTGGGGGGGGAAGGGGGGCTTTTTACAACTTTTTTGTCCCCCCGGGAAGCCACCGGGGGGGGAAACCCTTCCAATTAAAAAAAAAAAGGAATTTCCCCCCAACCCCCCGGGTCCACCCCCCCAAAACCAAACCCCGGTGCCACCCACACCATCCACCCAACACCCCGGGAATCCCACCCCAAAACCCCCGGTTCCCCCCCCTAAAAAAACCCAGGATTCCACCCCACCATTTCCCCTAACACCCAGGATGCCACCCACACCAGTCCACTAAACCCCAGGGACCTACTTACCCGTTAGGTGAACATGGACAGAGGTTTTCTTAATGTCCAAAAGTTTTTTCCCCCTTAACCCGGGGTTGCACCAAAGGCCCCAGTGTGGGGAGCTGAGTTGTCTACCAAAAGAGAACATCAGGTTCAATGCAAGAAACAAGAAGTCAGGGCAGTTCCTTGGATCAAATTCCCCTTTACTTTAAAAAATTTTATAATAATCACAGTCTCGTATTCAAAAACCCTGTTGGGGAGGCTGGCAAGGTCCCCAAGTGATGCTCTAGACCCCCTCACCCACAGATGCCTCAAAAGCTTGCATATAATTATAAAAACATTGTCAATGGAATATTTGATCATTATATCACATGTAAATTATCAATTAAAAAAGTAAGAAAAATAAAAATATTTGATCTACAGTATGTACATTATAATTGAAATTCTGATTACAACAATTCTAATTATTGTATGTATATGTATGTCCCCACCAAGGTAGGGTGACTAAAAACGAAGAGAAAGGCATTCACCATTATTTGCTCAACAGCTGTCTGGCCAGAAGTGTGCTGACAACTCAGTTCAGACAATCCTCTGAACTGCAACATCCTCACCCATCCTTCAGAGTGCAGGCAGTGCACCTCCAGGACTCAAGTTCATCTAACTGGTTTCCCTGAATCCCTTCATAAATGTTGCCTTGCTCACTCCAATGGCACATCAAGCCATGCAAGCCACTTGTCTCCACTCACTCCTTTCTAATACACACAAGCCTGCTGGATGCTCAAGCCCATAAAACTCAAAGCCACCTTTATCCCCTCTCTCTATATGCACACACACACATACATATGCAAATATCTCGAACAAGAGATATAAGATGCAAAATAACCACGGGGAGTTGAATGATAGCTCTAGGCCTTTTGGGCTGCAATCAACACATCAGGAGCTGGCAATGATATAGAAAAGAGGAGGAGGTCCAGGCAAATGCACCCACAACGAATGTCCTTGCTAGAGTGAGCTCACTCCAGCAAGGACTTTCCCTGTGACCATATTTGCTTGGACCTCCTCTTTTCTATATTATTGCAAGCTCCTGATGTGTTGATTGCAGCCCAAAAGGCCTAGAGCTATCATTCAACTCCCCCTGTGGTTATTTTGCATACACACACATATATAAACATTATCTCTTGGTCTACAGCAGGATTTGAACCTGTATGTTCTACATCACAGTACACGGTGCTTCAACCAGCGACAGACCCCAGACCATGTGGTTAAAGCACACTGCGTATTTTGATGCAGTGTGTGCAGGTTCGAATCCTGCATGTGGCCCCCCAAGAGATAAATGAAAAGCCACTTGTTCCACAGCCTTTCAATACCAAAAGGCATGTGGAGCTTCAACATGATTAACAAAGCTTACTTTACCCTTCTCTGAATGTGAAAACGAATATTTGCAGGAATTCGGGAAAAGCAGTTAGCAAGCTGATCCACGGGGAGTGAAGTACAGTCCCTGCACTTTAAGGGGTTTGGGATTTTGCTGATATAAAAAGAGGAACCCTACAACTACACCCAACCGGGCCTGTAAAGTAGCTCACTGCAGCAAAGGTTTCTTT